TTTTGTTATATTTTATTTAACACCACTAACTTTATTAATAATCCTTTTATTCACTTTTTCTAACAATCTATGTCACTCATATAAATTTTTTTATTTAGTATGTTCGCACTTACATGCCGAGTCTGATGTTTGTCGCCACACCATGGAGCTTCTTGTCCTTGGGTGACACCTTTTCGTAAAGTATGTGTTTCCTTGTATAGCTCTTGGTGTGCTGGCCTTACCCCCCCAGCAGCTTTGGTCTGTGTGTCACAACCATATTATAAGAGATTAGCAAGTTAGTATATTTATAGTTAATCGATAATTATACCAAAATAATATAACTTGTGTTCATTATCTATTATATATATATATACACTTTTCTTTCTTTTCTTACTTACCATCCGTTCTTCATGTACATCAAAACTCACTGATCCTGTAGTGTGTGTAACTCGTTCCCCAGATGCTCGGTTTTTCTTCCCCCTCTCGCTAAGATTGTGAAACTTAGTAGAATCCCAATAAGCGCATAATGTAGGCCATAGGTGCTCAGGCACCCATACCGGCCTATACTCACCGTTTGCACGCCACTTATCCCGTTCATCCTTCATATTATCGCCCCATCCTTTCTTCATTGATCTTAAGAACGCCTTTCAGACTGCATCCTCATCCTCTAAACCCCATTGATAATGTGTCTGTCACCAAATACACATAATTTATTTCCATGTAACTTAATAACATATAGTATAATAATACATGTATATACATCATATCCCATTTTTTCGTATATACTTAATTACCATTTTGTCCATACGAAAGAGCTAATTGAAACGAATCAAAACTTTTAATACTTTATTGACAAACTCATAATTATAAGGATTTTTGTGTCATATGATGACTATTATGATATCATATTGTTTTACCAAAGTCATATGATGATTGTTTTCTTTTCTTCTTCTTTTTTCTTCTTTTTTTTTTTAAGTGTATGCAGTACTCATACCATTAAATTACCTGTATCTACCAATACACCAACAATAGTGACATATACTTTATCATATATGTTGTTACATTATCATTAATCATACGCTACATATGGGATGGAAGGATTATGTATGAACTGATAATTACTCTTACCTTAAACAACTCCCACACTTGCAGCCTTTTCTGTTCTGGGAACAAGTCATAGGTGAAGTAATCACCATCATAAACCCTCTTCCATAGGGTCGTAATCAATCTGGGGACTTCAACATCCAAGAAGGTGCCTTTATGCGAAATTTGTATAAATGGTCTTTCATCTGGTCTTCTTGCAGCCCTTTTTGGTTTGTTTGGACCTCTTCCCTTCTGCTTCCCATTATGCGATGATGTTGCTGCATGAATAGAACCTTGTGGACTAATAGACAGAGTATGCCCTGCGTCCAATACTGGGGTAACGTCACATGCAAGATCTACAGAGTTGTGACGTCCTCGTCTCCCTGATGTGCTGCGACTACGTGCGGAGTTGATGGGCCCACCCGACATCTTGCAAAACATATGGTCACATAAAGTATGTCAGTACTAATGTCACCAACTAAATATATGTGCAGTTTATAAATTTTCTTTTTATAAACATTTACAACATCATAAATAATGGCAATGAAACAAAATTTGAAGAAATAGTCACTAGTCATTCATAAGTATATTTGTTAATTACGAAGTCTTTTACACAAAATTTATATTTTTAAATGACAACCAAATTTTAAAAATATTATTCTACATGAACTTCAATTATTTAACGACTATTCAGTCTCACTACTATCGTCACCAACATCGCCTCTTGTTTCATATCCTTCATTTCCTTCACTCGGATTTTCATCAACATCATCATTTGCATCTCCATTTAAGTCAACCATTGTTGCTCCTTCTGCATGCAGATTCACGCGTTCTGTAGATGTCAAATTGGAACTATGCTCATTCGATTGTGTGGATGGTGGCTCCTCATCTTGGAATATTTCTTCCATATCAAGTGAGGTTGAAGAAGCGTTGACCAAATGTCTATGACGTATTTTGCATGCGGCGAACCATCCATGAGTTGCTCGATTATCTGATGGGTAACTACTGTAATACACTTGCGTTGCTTGACACGCAAAGCAAAATGGCTCGCCGGTCGACAATTGATATCGTGGGTTGACATCAACAATGTTGTAAACTTGGTTAACGCGTGTTCCCCGACGTGTATCGAACCAATCACAATTGAATAAGACAATTGTCTGCATTTGCGCATGTGGTCCATAATACAATAGTTCGATGACTTCGTTAAGGATGCCATAATAATCAGTCTCAGCATCATCAGATATGGTTGTTCCTTTCACACATACACCACAGTTATATGTTTGTCTTTCACTACTAGCTTTTTGGGTCATAAATCTAAAACCATTGACATAATAACCTCTGTACACATTCACTGTCCATGATGGGTCCAGTGCAAGGTATTGCAAAACCTCATTCCTTTCATGATAGCCATTTAACACCTACCAAATTTATATGTACGTGTTAGTAGTCAAATTTATAATATTTTCGTTAAAAACTCAATTAGTTAATATATTGTATATGACTATATATGTATACGTATATAATAATAATATTTGAAACAACATGACACGATGAAAACTATTGTTTACCCTATCTTTGAACCACATAACAAAACTTCTGGTGCGTGCTTCGTGTGGAGTTAAAGGGGTCATATATACACCAACTTCTCGATCAAAGATGCTGAAATATGGAAACAATAATGTGTGACCAAAAAATGGAATGTTGAACTTTCCTACTATGATTCATCAAGTTTACTCTAAAAATTTAATAAAAAGGAGTTTAGTTTGTCATATCTCACCTAAGAAGCGCATCAACTTCCCTACAGTTTAGTAGGACATAAAGTTCAGCTGCCTTCATCTCTTGAGTGGTTAGGCAGCGTGTCTGTAAATGTGAACCCATTGGATGACCAGGGCACGCAAATATCGAGAATTCTGTGTTCCTATACAATGGAACTGCTGCAAAGTTCCTTGGGGGCTTACTCCAACTTGTTTCAAGATCCGCACCAAAATATCGTGAGCAAAATCTTGTTATTTCATTGAGAATGTATGCTTCGACAATTGATGCCTCAACATGATTCTTGTTCCCTATTGTTTGTTTAAGTTTGTGCATTTGTCTGTAAAGTTTGAAATTAGATATGAGCATAACAAATTATTATAGATTCTGTTATACTTGAAACTAGTGCATGAAACTAGTGCAAACTTGTTTTCGTTACCGTTCAAATGGGTACATCCATCGAAATTGTACTAGCCCACCAATTCGCGCCTTGAAAGGAAGATGAATTGCTAGGTGCTCCATACAATCAAAAAATGACGGCGGAAAGATTCTTTCTAACTTACATATTAGTTCAACTATCTTCGTTTCCCAAACTGCCATGTCTTTTATGTTGACATTTGGGGAACATAGTGCACGGAAGAAATTACTTACTTCTGTTAATGGACCCCATATAGAATCCGGTAACAAGCCACGGAAAGCAATAGGCGCTGCATGAATATGTGGCAATCGTGACTCTTCAATCCAACTAAGCGTAGCTCAGCTAAGTTCACACAACGTGCGATGTTAGATGCAAACCCATCTGGAAATCGCACATTTTTGAGCCATGTACATAGACATCTTTTTTTATCCGTGTCAAGTGCATAACTTGCATTTGGCTTGCAAAGCGACCCAGAACTGTCATAGTACAAGTGTAGTTCTTCCCTATCATAGTACAATGGTAAGTCCATTCTTGACTTAACATTGTCTTTTGAGGACAAGTCATTCATGACTGTGTGTATGATGTTGTCAAAAAAATTTTTCTCACAGTGCATTACATCAAGATTGTGTCTGATAAGGTTATCACCCCAGTATGAGAGTTCCCAGAAGATACTCCGTTTGACCCAATTGTGTGTTTCACCGAACCCGGGAATAATTTGGTTTACTGATGGATTTCCAAATAAAACATCAGGTAGTGCAGCAACTCGAAGTCGAACAAAATGACCATCTAATCGTGTAGGAGGGGGGCCAAATTCTAGGTGGCCTTTAAGGAATTGAGATGCATCCATTCTGTACGAGTGTGATGCAGGAAGAAACTGCCGATGACAGTCAAAGAAGCAGATCTTCCGACTATACTGCAAGTAAAAAGCACGAGTCATTTCCATGCAATATGGACAAGACAGACGACCATGCGTGCTCCATCCAGAAACCATACCATAGCCGGGGAAATCTGTTATGGTCCACATAAGCATGGCTCGCATTGTGAAGTTCTGTTTATGGAAGCTATCAAATGTTTCTACCCCCGACAACCATAACCGTTTCAGGTCATCAATAAGTGGACGGAGGAAAACATCAATATTTTTTCCTGGACTTTTTGGTCCAGAAATAACAAGTGTAAGGAATGTAAACTCAGGTCGCATGCACATCTCAGGAGGAAGATTGTACACAACAATGAAAACAGGCCAACAGGAATATGACCTCGAAAAATGACCCCACGGGTTAAACCCATCTGTTGCAAGACCAAGACGGACATTTCGCGGATCGGATGCAAATGAAGGATGAATGGCATCAAAGTGCTTCCAAGCAGTAGACTGAGCAGGATGAATGAGGATCTCCGAGTCAACACGACATTTAAGGTGCCATGTCATATGCTCAGCAGTTTTACGAGACATGTAAAGCCTCTGTAGCCGTGGAATAATGGGTAGATACCACAAAGAATTCCTAGGCCTACCCTTTTTTTGAGTTTGACCTGAGTTGCATTTTTTATACCTAGGTTCACCACAAACTGGACAAGTAGTAAGTGACTTTGCTTCATCACCATAATACAGAAAGCAGTTGTTGACACATGCATCAATTTTGACATAACCTAAACCTAAGTTTTTCATGAATTTTTTTGCTTCATAAAAATTTGATGGTACTTTTTGCTGATCTTCTGGACTTAACAATTGCCTACAGCCTTGAATGATGTCATTGTAACCAACACCAGTTATGTTGTTTTTGGCTTTGCAGTGCAGCATATATGATAACCATCCAAGCAATGTTTGATTATTAGATGATGGTCCAAGTGGGATGGTTGAAGCACGCAACAAGTCATAAAAAGATTGTGCATGTCTATTTGGCGCATCCCCAACATTTTCAGATGCGAACTCTGTTTCATTTCTAGGGTGATCATTTTCAGATGGACAGAATGCATCATAAACCATGTGATGGAAATCATCCTCAGCATTAACATGTTCATCAATATTAACATGTTCCTCAACATTACTTGAGGATGCCACATCACTTGTAGCTAACCATGGATCAACATTGTTACTTAAAGTTTCACCATGTGCCCACCACACAGAATATGCATCCATGAAACCATATCTCAACAGATGGTCTGTTACAGTTGCCTTGTTGTGGTGAGGTAAATGTCCACATTTACTACAGGGGCAACGAATTTCGGCATTCAAGTGAACACCAGGACGACTATAGACGAAATCAAAAAATTGTTGTAATCCATTAAAGAATT